CTGGAATTCAAGAATTTGAATTTGAATGAAGACCTGGCTCTGCCATCTGGCCTGGGGTGAGGAGGGGGATCAGCAAGTGTGGGGTTGGCTTATCCCTTAGTGGCCTGGCGTTGCTGCCTTGAACCATCAGCCTCCTGGATTTTTTCCCTTTTATTTTTATGAATGTGAATTGTTATAGGTTTTAATTGTATATTTATTGTTTTAATGTGTTGTGAGCCGCCCAGAGTCCCCCATTGGGGGGAGATGGGCGGGCGACAAATTTAAAAAATAAGTAAATAAATAAAGTTTATCTTCCTTTCAAAACAAAACTATTCCTTCAGACATTGTGCTATTTGTCTATAGTATTTCCTCAGCTGATGTATCTACAATGACTTGAATCCAGAGTTTTGTTCTGCTAGTAGCAGCACCTTAACTCATTTAATAGCAGTACCTTTACTAACCTCTGAATTTAATCCTTGTGGATGTTAAGGTATATATCTTGTTTGTTTTTGCATCAGGGCCTTCTTGTATCAGTGAAAAAATTAAGTATCTGCTTTATTTGACTTCAAATTCATGTTGGAAATTTACAGCGCTTCTGGTTGATAGTTTTGCTTCAAAAGTTCTTCCATCAGGCATTTATAATACTGTGAAATTGGCCATACTGTTGAGTTTAGTACAGACCATTGATGGAGATAATACAACAGCAGATTACTTAGATCTTCTGGTAATAACAAGAGATTCTCTTATACTGGAGAGGTAATTATTTTTCCTATACTAGAGAGGTGGTGGTGGTGGTGGTGATTAGCTTTAATAAGCAATACTTTCCCCAGATGGAAAGATGTCTCTCTCTCTCTCTCTCTCTCTCACACACACACACACACACATTTAATATTTAATTTTGCAACTTATGCTATTTTTATTGTAACATCAATAGCTGATGTTGCTATAATCTGAATTATATATATAAAAACTATGTCTATTTTCCATAGATAGAATTATTCAACTGAAATGTAATGCCACAGTGAACTATAGAAATGTATTTAACTAAATTTATTTCCCTAAAATACTTCAAATTCATTAGTGAGCTATCTATTTTTCCAATCATCTAGAATTATGAATTATAGTATATGCCTTGTGCCCCGAGGCATTCGACACTTTCCATCTGGTGAAGTTTTTCCAACTGTATCAAAAGATAAACATGGGACTGGAACCGCTAGTATTCAGGCTGGTAGTGCTTTGATGGCTAAAGGTGGAATATGCTTCATTGGAGAACTGACTTCACATAAGAAAGATAAACTTGAACAACTACAAGCAGGTAGGGCAATTAACAAGTTGGTATTTATCTAAAGACCAAGAGTAACTTTAAATATTTTGGTCATCTTGCCTTACAGCTTTGTAATCCCAGGGAAATTCTTTTAATCACTATAGATATTTCTATACTGGCCAATTTTAGTCCTGTTCAGTTAATACTTTTCTATTGTAAAGCAGTATGTAAAATTTCCTTAGGAATATAACACTGTATGTTCATTCCACTATATTCTGGGTGACACAATAGCAAGAATGGATGTGCACATAAATCTTGGTAGACCTAAGAATGCCTTCTCAGCAGCACTTAAGGAAAAAAATTAATACAGTAAACCTGCTTTATACAAGACAATTTTTCAACCTGGTACATGGTATCTTCAGACACCAGGATGCCTGTAAATCCTGGAAGCAATGCTGGCAATGCCCCAAATAAAACATGCAAAAGATCTCAAACTGAAGTCACTGAAATCTCATGATTTAGTGATTTTTGTGAGATTTCAGACAACTAACTGGAGACTGTGCCTGGGTTATCACATTGGATCACAACTGTGCTACAGCATTGTCTGGCTGACAAAGCTCTCCAGGGTCTGAGGCAGAGTTCTTTCACATTATTTGTTTTTATTTTAAAATCAAGGATTGATCTTGAGATATACTGCATGAATAGTATGTGCTTTACATTGTGCTATATGCATTGCCCCATTTTTAAAATTTGATTGAAAATTTTGTAATTTCAATTCTATTGCATAAATGTATGCCTATTTAAATAAAAAACTTCCAGCACAACTTAAAAAAAAACAACATTGCTAACTTGTGTCAATTGTACAATAAAATACCTGGGTGTAAGTCAGTCACAAAGAAATGGCAAGCTCCATGGCCTGATACATAAACATGCAAATAAAACTACACACAATTTAAAAGGGAGCCTAACCCAATCTTGTTCTTTCCAGATTTGTTAATGTGAAATTAGGGATTCTGGCAGTGCCAGCAGAGCTAGGTTAAGATGATTTTCATTTGTAGAGACTGCTGTTTTCACTACCAAAATAATCCTTTGAAAATCTGGTGGATTATCTGAAATAGTATGGGAAGTACCTGATTTCTTCAACAGAAGCCCTCCACTAAATGTTGGTTCACTCAGTAAACAGAATGAATTCTTCCATTCATCAAGACACAATCTGGTTCCAACCCATATAAACTTTTTCGATGATACTTTTGAAGCAGAGGAACATTACAGAAAGAGCACTTCTATAATTGGGAAATGATATGCAATTTGTCTCTAAGTTTCTTTAAAAACAATGATTTAACACATACAGTAAAGTAAGCTGTACAAACCACCATATTTTAAGTAGCATTTTTTTCTTACTCTTTTGATTAGTACTAGAGAGCAGGACAATTACTAAATTCATTCCAGGAAGGAAATATGGAGAAGCTACTGATCAGCAAGTTACTTTTCCAATTCAAACAAGTTTCTGGTCATTTACTGATGTGAATTCATCTTCCAAAAAGCACATACAAATGGATAATACTGTAATTGGTCAGCTGGTGAGTCATATACTTAAAACAGTAATTGCACAATATTGATTAGGAACAGCTAGGTAATAGCTTTTAGAAAAGCACTATAAATATGCCAATTTAGCAGCCATTTTCTAAAATGTTAATTTCTCCAGTCAATAAACATATTTTCATCATTCAATAACATCTGGTATCACCAAAACACTATAAACAGATTAGATAAAAATCAGTGTAACAGCATAAAGAGTACCCAATTTACTGCTATAGCAAATTAATACAGTGTATCAAGTAATATCCTGAATGACATTGCCTCCCCAGAATCAGCTTGTTTTGGAAAAATATTGAGCCTTGCATTTTTAGACTTTTATTTTTAAATATTTTTAAAATGTTAACATTCTATTCTTAATTTTTTTTTAAATTAGGACTTAAGCTTGATTTCAGCTACTCTTATAGATGCATTTGGACTTTTGATATACTGCAATGAGGTATCATGTTGTCGTTCTCCACCTCCTGTTGCGAATTTCATTTTTAAAAAATCTATTAATTCAGAAGAGATTTATTCTGTCACCCAACAGTTCCAAACCCAAGATTATGAGGAAGTAAGTAGTTATTTGAAACTATACCGAAAGAGAAACTAATGTTTGACAAATTGCTTTTCTAACAATTGCATTTTAGATATTGTAATTTTCTTATCTGGAAAAAAAATCCATCCCTTTCTGTTTCAAAGTAATTGTATGAGTGCTATTTGTTCAGATTAATTGTATAAGCAGTAAATTTTAAATTTAAAAACAATTTAAATCATTTGAAACAGCCAAATGAAAATAATCTAAACTAGCCTTTCCCAGTCTGATAATCTCTAAATATTTTCTAATTAGAACTATCAAAATTCCCAGCCAATACTGGCCATGCTAGCTGGGAATTCTGGAGAGCACCAAATTGCATAAAACTGGCCTAAAGGGGTACATGCATCTGCAAAGAGACTTCTCACAAGTTTATTTTGACGAAGGTTTCTATATCTTTTATAACACTACGAAGGCCAGATCATAGTCTTAGTATAAATAAGCTAGAAGCATTTTACTAAGACAATGTCCATCCTAAAGAGTGTCAGGAAATCTACAAGAATACCACACACAGAAGGCTGTATTTATTTCTTTTTGAAGTCATAAGACCTTGCCATGGATTAGGACTGCCAAAACTGTGTTAGACAGCTACTGATAACGTTCTGTAATTAACAAGTAATTATCAATTAACAGTTGATATAAATCATATTTTGTTCTTTATACTTGATTTTTAATGGATTAATTTATTTTATTATTTATGGGGTATTTTTATTGTTGATGGGATTTTTGATTTTAACTGTGAGCCACCCAGAGTCACCCGTTGGGAGATGGGCGGCATACAAACTCAATAAACAAACAAACAAACAAACTCTTCAGAAATACATTATGCCTTTTGTAATTCATTTGCAAGTAGCTTATTTTTTGCTCCCTTCCAGAAAGTTTCAACCTCTCAATTGATTCTTGCTCAAAAATTATAGAACCCACAGGAAAGCCATTCTGGCCCTATTAGTTACTAATTAGTATATTTGATTACAGTCAATTATAAGCTCTTTTAGGATCCTATGAACAAAATACAGAATATATCTCCTACATACAAAATGCATTCTTCAGGTGCATTTATTCATTTTTTTATACTTTTTTTTTTGTAATTTGCAAACTATGTCAAATGTTAATCACAAAATGAGTCTCTTAAAACTTCCTTTAAGTGGTATACAAGTAAAGATTAAACATATGGGTGGTGTTTTCTTTCATAAAACTCTTTAATTTATACTGTCATTTTAGTTCCTCGCTTTTTCAAAGAATTTGCATGTAGAACTGTGTCCAGAATCCAAAAGGTTAATTCATGGCTACTATCTAGCAAGTCGCAGAGTCAGAACACAGCTCATAAATGGATCTAATCTCTCAGTTACTTCATTAAAAATCTTGTAAGTTGACACCTGCAAATTAAATACAGCCCACTTCAGACATTCTGGTTTTAAGTTGGACTAATGCACAAAGGCGGAGAGTTGCATGAATTAGCAACTCCCCATCTCATTCAAGCATGTATCATGAATGTGCCCGACTGCATAGAAATCTTTATGCACGAAGGTTTTCTCCCTCCAGATGCTAATGCAAGCATCAAAGAATTATTACTTAGAATATGCAACATCATCGGGTGTGTCTAGTTTGTACAATTGTGCTGTCCCATGCATTGGTCAAAGAAAGGATGGAAAAGCTGTGGGCCCTTCAGATGCTGCTGAATTCAGTTTAGGTACTGAACCATATTCAAGGTCTTATTGTTTTACAAAACTAAGGACCAAGTTCTGTGAGAAATCTTTTGCTTCCACAAAAGATTTCTCACCTACCTATCCTTATGTGATGCCGACTATGAAGAATGATCTTTCCACTAAGATTAGGAAGATTTCTTAACAAGACTGACTTAACTCAATGAAAATATGTCCACATCTCTTATGTGAATTCTAATGTATTTATTATAAATGCATCTATGCTACTGTAGTCATACAACTCCAAGAGTCTTACAGCAAAACATACAATACATAGGGTACATTACAGTAATTCAAAATTATCAAATATATCACATAATAATACATGCTATCAACATACATTCTACATAATCATTTAGTCCTTAAGGAGGGGTCGAAGCAATGCCTTCTTCAGGGATATTGGCATTGCTCATCACAACCACCAGGACCTAGCCACCTGTCCTCTCCCTGGCAGCACATATACAAGCCTGTAGGTGGCAGAATTCCTCTCCTGGAAGACTGGCCACTTCCAAGGATCCAATATTCAAACTCATCTCAGATACCACTGTTAGCCGTTTATCCTTGGTACCTCTTCCAGCTGGTTAACTCCAAGCAAATGAGAGTAATTTTGTCTGTGAGATGTTCTGCTAACAATCGCAGCGGAACCCTGGATTATCCTGTCCATCATTTCCTAAAAGGATCCAGGCTACCTTAAAAAGGGCCACTAGACAGATATATTAATTCTTTATCAGCTTATAAATACAGCGGTACCTCGGGTCATGAACGCTTCTGTTCACGACCAATTCGGGTCACGAACAGCACCATTTGCAAAATT